CTCTCCCGCAAGGAGTGAACGTGCTGAGAGCCGAAGATCGACATCTCGAAGCACGCGCGACGCACGCGCGCCAGCTATTTCGCCCTGTGCCACCTGTGGCGGTACCGGCCGGAAACAATCGTCTGGAGGTGGACCACGACGGTCTGGACAGCCAGGTCGTAGGTCGGTCCAATTCACACCTTCGCCTAGCTCGTGGCAAGACCAACCCCCAAGACGTAACAGTCAGAGAATTTATGGACGAACGTGTGCGAACTGCGGACACGGGTTGGAACGCTGCCAGAGTTACGACACGTGCCCAGCCCGGAATCTTTACTGTTACAAGTGTGGTCGTCGTGGTCACTTCGGAGGTGTCTGCAGAAGCACGCCCCAGGGCTATTCACAACGGCCGCGGCGCAAAAAAGTCGAACAGATTCTGTCGGACGACGACGACGACGATGACGAAGACTCAACGCTCGTGAATCACATCACGGGAATGTGCAAATCACGAATCTTCATTACGGTAAAAGTCTTTAAGACGTCACTACCGTTCTTGCTTGATACGGGATCGTCTGTTTCGATAATGGACAAGTCAACATTTATACAGCAGTTCGCAAGCGACGCCAAAGTTGTGCCACCCCCTGTCACGTTGCTGAATTTTTCCCGCGAACCCATCAACGTGTTGGGAGCTTTCACGGCCACTGTTACGTTCAAAACGAGACAGGCACAAGTGCTGTTTTATATAGCGGACAACGGTACGTCGCTACTTGGAATGGACGCTGTGGTAGCACTGGACATTCAAATGAGTGGAGCAGCCAGAACATGCTTCTATACCGACGCTGACGAGCCTGATGAAGCGTCGAGACTGCCAGACCCTCCTTTGGTATCTGAGAAGACTACTGGCAACACGGAAGGTCGACAACCAACACCTTCCACATCTACAACTGATGTAACCTGCCAGCCCGACGACATGTCTGCGGCGCTGCAAGAAGAGTGGGCGGCGCGTGCCATGCCACAAAAACAAGCGGCAGTAATTCTGCCCACCGCATCCGCACCGGCAATGCAAAGTCCAAAACTTCCAGCGTGTCTCGCACGTTTTAATCACCTCTTCACCCCTGGCTTGGGTCGAGTGAAAGGAATCCAATGCAAGGTAAAGATTCGAGCGTCGGTTCCACCGGTTCAACATCGCATGAGGCGAATCCCTCAAGCGGCTCGGCAAGCCGTCTCGGAAGAAGTCAAACGCCTAGAACAAGAAGGCGTGATTGAGCGCATTAATGCCTCAGAATGGGTCTCGCCCATTGTTGTTGTGCAGAAGAAAGACGGCACCATTCGGATGTGCGTTGATCTTCGTAGCGCAAACAAAGCGGTTGTAATTGATAGTTACCCGCTTCCTCACATCGAAGAGCTGTTGAACGCTCTACACGGTGCCCGTCACTTCTCAAAATTAGACCTCGCGGCTGCTTACCATCAAGTGCCATTGCATCCAGACAGCCGTGACATAACAGCATTCATCACACACGAAGGGCTGTTCCGCTACAAAAGAGTGTGTTTTGGACTAGCCTCTGCTCCGGCAACGTTCCAGCAGATGATGTCCAAAGGCTGTCAAGGCGTACTGTTTTACCTTGACGACGTTGTCGTCTTTGGCAAGACTCAACAAGAACATCTGGAACGTCTGCAGGAGGTCCTTCAACGCATTTTTGACGCAGGGCTCAAGCTTAACAACAAGTGTGTCTTCGGCGCCCCAGAACTCTCTTTTCTGGGACATAAAGTCAGCGGCGCCGGAATTGCTCCTTTGCAACAAAAAGTGGATGCTCTTCAAGCTGCTCCGATCCCAACAGACCTGACGCAGCTAAGGTCCTTCCTGGGCATAATCGAGTATTATGCACGATTCGTTCCCCACCTTGCGTCTGAGGTAGAACCTTTGCGCAAGTACCTCCGGAAGGGCACGCCCTTTATCTGGGACCAAGCCGCGGACAAGAGCTTCACTCGAGTGAAGAAGTTGCTTTCGTCTTCAAAAACATTCAGGATGTTCAATCCAGACCTACCCATCATTGTGACTACCGATGCTTCGGCGTACGGGCTTGGAGCCGTGCTTCAGCAACTCCACGGCACGGAAGTCCAGACGGTCGCCTTCGCATCACGTACGCTGACCCCGGCAGAGCGCAAGTACTCGGCGGGGGAAAGAGAAGCCCTTGCATGCTTGTGGGCGTGTGAAAGATGGCACACGTACCTGTGGGGTCGTCGTTTCAAGTTGCGGACAGACCATCAGGCACTCGTTGCACTGTTAAACACCCGAGGAAATGGCCTTCGCCCACTCAGAATTACGCGGTGGTCGACCCGTCTCCTGAAGTACAACTTCCAAGTCGAGTACCAGCGGGGCAGTGAAAATCAGGTTGCAGACGCGCTTTCAAGGCTTCCGGTGCCAGATGACGAAGGCGGAACACAATTTGACGAAGAGATTGTGTCATTTGTCTCCCTGGACAGTGAATGCATAACAAAAGCGCAGTTACAAGAGGAAACTGCGGCGGACCCGCTCCTTTCTGCAGTAATGACCTACATCATCTCTGAGTAGCCACCCTGGAGGGCGTTGTCCGCAGATGAGGTCATTCTCCATGATCAGAAAGACACACTCTCGGTGGATGACGGCCTTCTGTTAAGGGGTGAGCAGTTTGTCCTCCCAACAAGCATGCGAGCGACGCTGATCGCTAGGGCACACGAAGGTCATGCTGGCATTGTCAGGACGACAACTCGCCTTCGCGAACTTTACTGGTGGCCCCGCATGAACGCGGAGGTGAAGCAGGCAGTTTACGCCTGTGACATCTGCAAGACAGCCGACAAGTCCGCGAAGACGGCAACCACGCCTCTGCAACCGGTGCCTCTGCCGGATCGCCCGTGGTCAAAGGTTGGCATCGATATACTAGGCCCTTTCGAGAGAGCGCCGCCGGCATACCGCTACGTAATCACGTTGGTGGATTACTTCTCTAAATGGCCGGAAGCTCAGTTCTGCTCTAACGTCACCACAGAAACGGTGACTGATTTTCTACATCTGGTGTTTACGCGCGAGGGCTATCCCGACAGTCTCGTCTGCGACAATGGGCCCCAGTTCGTTTCTGAGGAATTCAAAACTTTCTTGGCTCAACGGGGGATCAAACACAAGCTTGTCTCTAACTACCATCCACAAGCCAACGGGCAGATGGAAAGATTCAACAGAACCCTCAAGTCCTACATACAGTGCGCAGCACTCGAGAACCGCGCACTGCACGCTGCAGTCCTGGACTACCTTTTCGTCTACCGCTGTACGCCGCACGCCACCACCGGGTTGTCTCCTGCTCTTCTGCTCCACGGTTTCAAGCCAAGACACAGGCCGCACATTTTGGGTCTTTCCTACACAGAGTTCCTCAAGAACCCGTTTGAGGAGATGCGGCGACTGCGTGAGCGTGTAGAGCAGAGACAAGACCGCTGCAGGAGATATACCGATGGAAGACGGGCGGCTAGAACACCGCGCTTCAGAGTGGGAGACCTCGTCAGAGTGAAAAAGCCTGGAAAAGTGCCTAAGGGAAGCCCAGCTTTCACTTCTCCTACGCGCATAACACAGCAGGTCGGAAGGTGGACCTATCGACTGGAGGACGGCAAGGTATGGAATGCCTCCAAGCTAGCAACCGTTCCAGAGCCGGAGGTGACTGTGCCTAAAAGCCTCCTCCAAAACAAAACCAACGACAAAGAAAGGGCGATGTGCAATCATCATGACTGGCAACCAACAGCTGTCGCTCCGACACCTCGGTTGAGACCAGGATCAGCGGAACCAAATTCAACAGCACCAGCGCCCCAAGTACCAAGACTGCGACGGTCTCAGCGCAGCCGGCGACCACCAGAGCGATTCAGTAGAACTTATATATAACGGAACGAACTGTCATAGTTTATCTCATGAAACCTGTATGTGTGAGTGGTTAAAAATGAGTACATGTAGTAGTATGTGTTAACGTCTATAGTCCTGGTCAGGAATAACTAAACGTGTAGAATTGGAATGAATGTGCTGTAAATAAGTCTGAAAATGGGTCGTGTTACCTTGAGCGATGCCTTCGAAATTGTTCTTGGTTTCAACGTAACGAACTTAGCATTGTACATCGAAAAAAATTGCCAGTTGTATATATGTGTAATTGTTGTTGTTCACATGCCTTTGGTACTGTATAGTGACCCGGTTTAATTTGTAATTTCCTAGAAATGTTCTTCTCTTCTTGGTTCTCTCTATTAACTATGTTTAATGTTTCATTCTTATTTTCCAAATTCAATGGGAGGGGGGAGAATGTTGTGTTCACCTAGTTTCGATTTCCACTTCATTTTCTTCGCATTGTTGTAAATAGTTTGATGCTATTATCATGCTTCTCTTCTTCATCTTTCTTTGCTTCTATTGGCTCGATCTAATAAAAGAACAGTCTATCAGAACGCTCGGACCAGACTGGCTGCTCACTTCGCAGTGTCCCCGTAGCCCGGGACACAACATTCCCCAATGCGCGCTTTACGCGTTCTTGATGTCTCCTGGTCATTGGAGTGTCATCATACATCTGGACATGTCTACGGTAACATCTCAGTCATTTTGCCACCAATAATGATTTGATGGGTTTTGCAAAGTGATGGCGCGTCGTTCTGGCCAGTGCTTTGATGCCATTTCAACGCCCATATATCTTTTTTTTCTGTTTCCTTCGATGCACGGCACAGTAGATTCAACAAAGGATGTTTTCATCCTGACACAGACTGATTGCGACACCATGCGTATCCCTTCTTCGTGTTCATTATTATGCAAGAGCTTCAACATTTTTATGCGCACACATTTACAGATACAGATTTACATACGCATTCTCCGGAATACTTCCGTTGCGAATATTCTTCTGTGAAGAAAAACAAATAAACTCGGGGAAATATATTTGTCTGTTTGGTCGTTGGCATCCCTCGTCAGGCTGAGGGTGCTCATTATTTTGTATTTCTCTGTTTGCCCTGACCGTGGACCTTCTGTTGTCTTTCTCCAGGACCGATGCGGACCTGTGAAGTGGAGGAGCAGGAGGCCTGGGCCCGAGACCAGCGGCGCGCCATGGCCGAGGACGGCGCCAGGGACCGCTCGGACGCGTCCATGTCGTGCGACGACAGCGACGACGAATCTTCCGCCGCGGGCAACCCGCTCGCGCAGCTGCAGAACGCGCTTCAGAAGACGGGCCTCCTGGGCGCCACTCTGGAGCCGGACGGACCGCGAGACTTCACCGACGTCGCCCCCATGACCATGCAAATGCAACCGCTGTACCGAGCGCCACCGCCACAGTTGCAGTCTCCCGGATTCCCGGGTGACAGCAAGCAAGCGAGCCTCGAGACCTTGGACAGGTCATCCGCGTACCGCTGCCACCTGTGCCCGTTCCAGGGCAGCAGCAAGGCAGAGTACAGCAGCCATATCGCCAGTCACCTGGACCACAAGTGTCCGCTGTGCGACTACCGGTCCCGCACGGAGGGCCGGCTCAAGCGGCACGTCAAAGACTTCCACTCGGAGGAGCCCTGGTCGCCGGCGAGGTCCCTTGCCATCGACGACGGCAAAGAGCGGACATTTCGTTGCCGCCAGTGCGGTCACGTGGCGCAGAGCAAGACGGACTTCTGGGAGCACAGCAAGGTGCACATCAAGACTGAGAAGCTGCTCAGCTGCCCGAAGTGCCCTTTCGTGACCGAGTACAAGCACCACCTGGAGTACCACCTGCGTAACCACTTCGGCTCCAAGCCGTTCAAGTGCCCCAAGTGCAACTACAGCTGTGTAAACAAGAGCATGCTCAACAGTCACCTCAAGTCCCACTCGAACGTGTACCAATACCGCTGCGCGGACTGCACATACGCCACTAAGTACTGCCACAGCCTGAAGCTACATCTGCGGAAGTATATGCACCGGCCGGCGGGAGTCCTCAACAACGACGGAAGCCCCAATCTTTTCCCGGTTCTTGACGTATACGGTACCCGACGCGGACCACGGAGGGGACCTAGACCGGACATCCAACTTCAGCCACCGCTACAGAATCATCTACAGAACCAATTCCAGAACCAATTTCAAAACCAACTGCAGAATCAACTCCAGGGCCCCCTGCAGGGGCTCCTGCCCGCAGTTGCCTGCGCTCAGCAGCAGCTACTCAGGGCTGCTGTGCTCGGGTCACCGGGGGTGGTGCCCTGGAAGTGCAGCGTGTGCGACTACACGACGGCAGACGAACAACAGCTGAGCCGCCACGTACTCAGCCACGCGGAAGGGCAAGACTTGTGTCGTCTGTACGGCATCAGAAGCCTCCCAGCACCTCCCGAAGCACTGCCACCCACAGAGCGTGCAGTTGACTTTCCGTTCGTGTCGTCCACATCGAGTCAAGACCCTCCTCTGCGTGATGACCGCAGAGAAAACCGTGGGGAAGACCGCAGGGAGAACCGTGGGGAAGACGGCAGAGAGAACCGTACGGAAGACCGGAGGGAGAACCGCAGAGAAGACCGCAGAGAGGACTGCAGAGAGGACTGCAGAGAAGACCTCAGAGAAGGCCGCCGGGAAGACCACAGAGAGGATCGCATGGAGGACCGCAGAGAGGACCTGAAAGAAGTTCGTAGAGAAGACCCTCAAGAAGGCCAGACGGAACGCTGCAAAGATGTTAAAGAAGACGTCAAAGAAGAGTGCATAGAAGAGCGCAAAGAAGACCGTAAGGGTTTTCCGTTGGATCTGAGCCGTGGACCCGTCGAACCCTCAAGGAGCCGACGCAAGGGCAGGGCCTTTCGGCTTGACCGTCTCTGCCTGCGGCTTCAGGAGAATGAAGGTGATGTGGAAACTCCAAGGGCAGAGGATCCTCCAGAAGTTCCATCTCCAGCGGTGCCGCAGCAGAAGCTTTCACCTCCCTCAATCTTGGCGGCAAGGCTACAGGAGTCTCCGCCGACGGAGACGTCGGTAGATGGATCACCCCCTGCTAAGGACGCCTACCGCTGTGTCTACTGCGATATCGCGTTCGAACACTGCGTCATGTACACGGTGCATATGGGTTATCATGGTTACCACGACCCGTTCACGTGCAACATGTGTGGTCAGCGAAGCGAGGACAAGCTAGCCTTCTTTTTGCATATTGCGCGGGCTGCACACCTGTGACCAGGAACAAATGCCCGCTTCGCACTGCATGTGAAGATGGAGAACTCGTAGCAAAAACCGCATATACCTCAATGAGGAAAAATAGGTTTCACGAACCGTTTTTGACAGTGAAATAATTGTGCCAACCATTGCTATCCCATGTGAAAAAAAAACATTTTCTCATTTTGCATGATGCTAGGAGAACATGCTCTTTTCGCCCCTAGTCTAGTTCAGAAGTTAATAGAAAACCAACCTCCTCCGATAAGATTGTGTTTTCTCAACTGAGCTACTAGATACTATTGTAACTTGTAGAGGAAGATGGTCGCTCTAATCTTCAACTGTCAAGAGTAATTGTTCGACAAATTGTATTTGCAGGTGTTTCCTGCGGAAGCATAGTGATCGAAGCAAATACTTTTGATGTTCCTCAAGTTTAAGTAGTTTAGGTATTTTTAGTGCATAGCTCAAGATCAAACATGGTCGTCAGTTCCTAGCAATCAAAGCGATCGCTTAGCCTAGCTCTCCCTGTAACGTCTTAATGCAAGAACGCGGATCAGATCCCATGGCCAATATGCTTGGGTTTCTCAAGACTCGTGGATGAGGTTTAAGTTTTCGATTCACACCGAAAAACGACTGCATAGGAAGAATCGTTGACTTCAGTCCCCTCTTCACGGATTCGTGAACAGATTATGGGCAGACTCGTTTGTGCAAAGCAGTCCCTTCCGCGCTCATGCGTCGAGAGTGCAACGGATAACACTTAGACATCGGACACTCCGAAACGACTAGTCATCATTCCATGGACCTTATTCTTCTGCGGGTGTGCTTGGTTGTCAGCTAAGCAAGCCCTGCATGTTGATGCCAGTGCTGACCAAATCAAAAGGTGTCGTGGTGCCATCGGAGGCCCGGGCTGTGACGCTTATCTCGGAAAGGCGTGTTAGTTTTTTTGTTTGTTTTTTCTGTAAGAGTTTGAGCCGAATACTGTCAGCATGCTGGCGCAAATGGATAATTCTTTACGGCTAATTGTGACGGTTAAATAAACGAAGTGTGAATTAGTTTCTTTTTTTTCTTTGAAATCTCCATGACCACTGACAGCTTAAGAAGGCAACTGACAAGTCATGATGGCCTTAAAAGAAATCTCCTGGAACGATCGGAGTAACAGCAAATGTTTCCCTAAAAGACAAATGCAGAAATTGGGTCTTGTAACGAAACGTATAGGCTATTACTCCGAGGTTTCCAGGAGCTGGGCTCCTTTCAACTGTCCTTCCGGCTTAGTCATGAAAGTGAGTAACCGTTACGCTATTCAGCGTTACTTCGGGTGATGCTGGTCAGTGACGGCCTAGTGATTGACGATGACCACTCGTGCCGTTTTCAAGTTGCCAGTGACAAGATGAGATGCATGAGTACCATCGCTGCAATTAAAGCGCAGAACGTTTTCAATTTGCAGTTTGCTTCGTTGAGTGGCTCAAATGTAGGAATATTGTCTAAACTTTGATTCAGCTTATAAGTTCAGACCCAGCTGACGCTACGAGGTGATGGGACCAATCAGGCAGAGTAAAAAGCGCAAGTCACTAGGCCTTCTTTGTTTATGATTGGTTGAGTGATGATAGGGCACGTAAATAAGCATGACGAACACCATGACGATGCGCTTTTGACGCTGTTCGATTGGTCTCATCAGTTCGTAGCGTCGGCTGCAGTTTCGTGTGCCAAATAAACACTGCTGATGCAGAATCACTCAAAACGCAGTATACTGTTCCGAGTGGAGTCTTTCCAGCGAGGGGGGTTGTGTTCCTGCTGGTTCATGAAAATTAAAAAAAAAGTTGCTTGGTACAATTCTCTGGCTAATCATGCGAACCCGTTTGGTATCGGTTCTCGCTTGCTAACGGTGACTATCTTACTGTGGGTTCAAGCAACGCCAAATCTTTTTTTTTTTTTTTCGTTGTATAACGCTTTATGTGTGATAGAATCATGATTTGTTTTCTCGTCGGCCGTCATTTTAATTTACCTGATATTCATTGGACGGATCTCAGACCGTCTACTTCAACCATGCGGGTATAGACTCAGCATTTGTTAATCTGATCAATGACTACCAACTCCATCCGTTTATTACAAAACCCACGAGGATCGATTCTTGTCGCTCAAGTGTTCTCGACCTTGTGTTTAGTAATCGTACTTCGGCCGTCCCTGGTCTTGCAGTTATCCCCGGTATGAGTGACCATATATGGCTGTAATCGCAGATTGTAGTGCTCCCTTACGTCATAAAAAAACTATCTGTTGAACAGGGGTCATCATGCTGGTTTGTCTGGTGATCTTGATGTATTTTACCCGGTGTTTGAGGAAATGAGCGAAGCAAGTGACGTTAACTTTCTGCGGAACAAATTTAAGAATAGAATTAAGACTCTCGTAAACATGTTTGTTCCATCAAGAATTATTACCTCGAAGTTTCGTCAGGAAAAACCATGGATGAACTCTGAGTTACGGAAAAGTATTACTAAAAAATAAACGTACACTAAAGCAGCTGCGTGTCTGCTCTGCATAAGCACCAAGATGGCGCGGTGCCCACAACAATATTGGAGAACAGGGTGCCGATACTCTAAAGGCGCGTTCCCACCGGCGATGCGATCTAGTCGCGCGCTAACTTTCATCGCAAAAGCGACCATCGCGGGCAAAAAGCGACGCGATTTGAGCAGTCGCTACTCGACCCGACTTTTTTGCGATGCGATCTAGTCGCGGAGCGGCTGAGCCAATCAACGGCGTTCGAAGCGATAGTTTTAGAGAAACGACTCTCTCCTTCCCCCCAACCTCTATCACAACGCTTCTCTCTCTCTCTCTCTCTCTCGCCAACGAAGGCGTTGGACTCGCTCATCGCGCACGCCGGTGTGACCATCTAACTTTTTTGCGATGCGATCTAGTCGCATCGCGCGACTGCTTATTTAGTGGCTCTAGTACGGATGTCGCAGGGAGATCTGAATTTAAATTGATTTTCGTAATCGTACGAAAAAAGGAAAGAATCGAAGAAACGTGACGGAAAAGGGGGAACACGACCCACCCGAATCCTGACCTGGCCACAGAAGAATCTGCCAGCGCGCACCTTGTAGTACATGGTCGCGGCCGCAGCGTTTCGTCACTATAACTTCGCGGCGCTGCATAAAAAACTTTTTTTTTTCCTATTGGTTATTCGCATACCCGCCGAAAGCGCGCAAGGCGCGGCGGCCTTCTTTGGTCCTGACCACCGTGGTCCTGACCTTCTCTTTGTGGGCCTCGCGGGATCGAGTCGTCAGTCGGTGGTCGCGTGACAGTTTTTTCACTAGAGGCGCCGGCTGCCAGCACAGTGACTATTTATGGCTGATCCCAGAACGCGCCTTATTTCAACGATAACACAGGACCCAGTCGGAACAAAAAAAAAAATAAAAAAATAACGCCCTTGCATTTCCGTGTTCTGAGAAACGCGCTCTTTCGATCCAAGCAAACATGAGAGCGATGCGCCCTGGTACGTGCTACTGCTACTGCAGCCTGCTGGCGCCACACTATGGTAGGTGTCCTCGAGAAACAGATACCACCAGCCGCCAGTCATAACCGCATTACTGCTAAAATGTAACAGTGTTACAGTTACACTTATTGAGGCAAATTAAGTAACCCAGTTACCAGTTACAGTTAAAAAAACTAAAGTTACTTTTTTTTACAATTACAGTTACTTCGCTAAAGTAACGCCGTTACTTCGTCCTTGCTTTACGAAAAATATTAGAAAACATTAAGAAGGAGCATTCCTGAATATGCCTTTAAATTAGCATAGATATTTCATAACAAATCATATTGTTCACGGTAGCGAATCAGATTTTTTTTTAGAAACTAAGATTTTTTTTAAAATCAATATTAACACGTTTACTTGTTCCTATTTCAATTTTTACCATTAATAGCTCCCTGAACAATATCATAATTTAGGACAGTATCCGGGTAAATCCACTCTATGATAAAGCATTTAAACAGGGTGAAACAAGAAGACGCCAGGCTCTTTAAATCTACCGGAAAATTCGGTTTCTGAACCTATCGCGCTACGACTTCGTGCAGCGTTGCCCACAGATGGTGCATTTTTTTTTTGTAAAATTTGCAAAGAGCGAACTTACCTGAGGAAAAAGTAAAGAAAGAAAAAGGCTTAGCTCCTATGGAAACGCAGCGACGCCACCGGTCTTCAAACAACACGGCGCCGTTTCGCACGGGACACAAGAAATGGCGCAACGAACGCCGCCAACGAACGAGCATACGGCGCCGAGAGCCAGAGTCTTTAGCAGACGATCTTTTCGACTCAAAAGCGGCGCGCGTTCCGCAGACGGCGACAGTCGCAGAAACAAAAACAGCCGCGGTAACAACAAGACTCTGCAGTTCCTTGTCTGCTAAATACACCGGCTCTCGGCGTCGTCTGCTCGTTCGTTGGCGGCAGTTGGCGTCGTGACCGCTTGCGCCATCTCTTGTCTCCCGTGCGAAACGGCGCCGTATTGTTTGAAGACCGGTGGCGTCGCTGCGTTTCCATAGGAGCTAAGCCTTTTTCTTTCTTTACTTTTTCCTCAGGTAAGTTCGCTCTTTGCAAATTTTACAAAAAAAAAAAAAAACACCATCTGTGGGCAACGCTGCACAAAGTCGTAGCGCGATAGGTTAAGAAACCGAATTTTCCGGTCGATTTAAAGAGTCTGGCGTCTCCTTGTTTCACCCTGTAGTTTGTTTTTCGGCAAAATTACAGGCGACTTTAGTTTTTGGAAATTTTAACACAGCGGACAGCTGCTGATTAAACGCGACCACCATAATGTATACACCAATGCAACAACAGCACGCGTCTAGATCTCGGGCATATCCAATTATGGAGAGTCAACTTTCCGTGGGAGAGAGGGCCCCGTCATTCAGGATGGTGACGACCGATGGAAGTGCCCCGGGAAGAGAAAAAAAAACTAAAAGTTGTTCGATCCCGCTGGACACATTACGACGGTGGTTGGTTTACGATGGCCAGTGTGGCCACGTTTATTTCAAAACAAAACGACAAGTCAACAGTAATTTACATGACAAAACTCCCAAAATTAAAATCCATACTTTAGTCCCGCAGTCTCAAGAGCCGGATCTGCCTGATCTCGAAAGCCGAATCCCCGAGAATCCTCTCGGCAGCCCTTTTCTAGACTCGTAGAGGCCTCCTCCCCCTCCAGAGACGGACCAATCACTTCAAATTTGCCCACTCTCACGTGGTACACTGTCGCCAAATGATCGGCGAGCTGTCAGCCTGACGCTCCAACCGCCAAATCCAAATTCCGTGTAGAGTCGGTCTCTGCAATTTTCTCAGACTAGCTGGCGCCAACAGCTAAATTATTACAGCGCGAAAAAAGCGACAATTTTACACTAAGCGGCAAAACCCTCTATACACAGGCACACTCGGTTAAAAGCCGCAAGCAGCTCCGAACACGTGTTCTCCCCGCACCGCCTCTCGAAACCCGAGACGTTTGTTAACGACCGGGGTCCGACTCTTCTCCACCGAGCCCCGCGGCTGCTCGAAGCCGCCCGCGCGTGAGGGCGGAAGACGCCCCAAAAAATGCAGACACAAACATAGGCAGATAAAAAAAAACGATGCCGACGTAACTGTAGATACTTTTCTAAAACAAATCTTACTTATTTCTAACAAACTCCTTCGTTACTTAACATGGAGCGAGTTTACGGCCAGTCAATGGACCTTTTTCCAGTAAGCGTCTGCGCACGCGCACACCTTTTTCCCTTGACCTTGACCGCCCTTTCGCCATTTTTGGGGGGCACTGTTTTCTTGCTACACTAATCTGTTCCTATGGGAGAAGGCGAGTCCGGTTGCCCTCCATTTGTAGTAGGCGGCGAAACCGCCATGAGGCACTCCTTACTGGAAAGAGGTCCATTCTAATTTCGGAGTTCTTCGGTGAGGCCAAATAGGGCGAAAGCAATAAAAATTGTGCAAATGTGAAGTCAATATAATATGTCATATATGCAATCAGCTTCGTAGACGTTTTCTTATGCCACTTCAATCCACTCGTCGGCCGAATTGTTTTCTACTGCGGGCGCACAATCTTTTATAAAACACGAAGCTTCTCTTAAAAACTTGGAGAGCAATGTTGCGGCAACACTGCTCTGTCAAACC